ATTCTAAGTCACTGATATTTTTCCTCTATCATAAATAGACATACCACTTAGCATTTTAAATACTAACAATAAGGACAAAAAAATTGTACAATTTATTTCTATATTACATTGAAGTTTATAGAAAATCAAAAGTACAACACTGACTTATTTTGTGAAGTTTTCATTTTTTAAAAACCAATTGCATAATCCAATTTATCCAGAGTATAAAATCACAAAAGTTTTTAGTCTACGAAAATCAGACACACTAACATTTCTCATGGAGTACAAAACTACAAAAGTCTATTTTTTTTCTCCAAACAGAATAACACATATTCTTTATCACATAGAAATGTTTTTCTTATCAAATAGTCTTCCAACTATAGCATTTTGTCATACTACTTTATGAAACAAAAAATATGCATCTCTCATTTTTCAAACTAAAGAATTTTAAAAGCAACAATATTTGTGAAGTAAAATTCATTCCACAACATATGGTTTGCAAATATTTTTCCAAAGATACACATAATAAAAAATACTCAAAGATGATAACTTTTAGAAACTATTTTCCTCCTTAGATAATTTAATAAGAAGGTTATCTGGTAATTTTTAAACGGAATACCATAAAAAAATTTTGTTATATTCTCACTTCGACCTTGCTAAACAAGGCAACGAACTATGGAGAAGTAATGCATTTATCTTCTACTTCCATGATCAGATTCTCTCAATCAGTAGAATACAAAAAATACTAACAGTATATTAATTTCCTTAAGATTGTTGTTCATCTTGTATTTCAAACATACATAGAACAAAACTTTGAACATCTTTGTGAGTCAACAAAGTTAAAGAACATTTCACAACTAGAAAATTAAAGCTAATAGCGAAACTAGAATCAGAAACATATTTAAAAAATATACGAAATATTTTTCTTAAAAAAGAATTGTTGTTAATATGTGTCTAAAGAATCTTATTGATTCCAACAAACTTTACATAAACACGAAGTTACCAAGTTTAATGAACCAGTGAAAAACAAAAGAATAGAAAACCTGAAATTAATTCACAAATCTAAAATTTGTAAAGTACGTACCAGAATCTAGAAAATTTTTAATAGGAAAAAGGTTAAGTCCAGTGAACTCACGGTGTCCCCTTAAGGAAATTATTCCCCTCTAGTATCCGAGGTTTGATTTAGAATATGACCTCCCAGGGTAAAATGATCTCAATCACCAGAGTATAGATATGTCAGTGAACCACTCAACGGCAGTAAAGTACACTTAGAATACTAGATTTAGTAGTTGAAGAAGAAGTTCATGAATTCTATATTAAAATGAGAGGAAATTCCTCAATTTATAGAAAACAAAGGATAGTGCAAAAATGTTGCAAAAATGTTCTTATTGTGCCTTACCGGAACTTTCAGAAAGGTCGTCACCTTTCATAAAAGTCACAACTTTCCATAAAAGTCACAACTTTTCATAAAAGTTGCAACTTTTCATAAAAGTCATAACATTTCATAAAAGTCACAACTCTTCATAAAAGTCGCAACTCTTCATTTTTCATTCACACCTTTTTAAAACCCAATAGGAGTGACTTATGAGTAAGGTAGTAGAGCACCCTGATTAGGCCTTTGAAAATTTTGAGGGTCCAATAAATTTTAATAGTGAATTTTATTGTTTTATTTCACTTTAAGCAATATTGAACATTCTAATTAAAAAAGAACAACAACAACAATCAACTTTTTATCAAGAATCCTTTCTCGAGGATCCGATTTAAGTGATTGCAAATTAAAATTATCTATAAAATGTGAAGAATTGTCTTTAAAACTAGAACTTGGTTGAGAAGAAATATGTTTCGTCAAAAATCTATCCATTTCAAATCACAAGAATCAACAACAAATCTCACAAAAAATACGCTTTTAAAGAACTTACCAGTTTATGTGAAATAAGAGGAGTAGGTGTCACGACCCAAAACGATAAACCATAACCTACCTCCACCG